AGAGAAAGGAAGGAAAGAAGGAAAGAAAGAAAAGAGGAAGGAAGGAAAGAAAGAAAGAAAAGAAAAAAGAAAAAGTAAGTTGTTGGTATACAAGATATGTTGGAGAGAGGTAATAGAAGAATAAAAGTCAACTTAACAGGTCAGCGGTGATGATATGAGATGGTGGTGAAAATGGAACCTTAGAGACATTTTAAAGGAAGAAATTACTGACCTTGGTGACTACATGGATGTAAACAGAGGATAAAGGAGAAGAAAGAGACAAAGATCATCATAGCACTTCTAAAATAGAAAATAAGGACAATGTGAGATCCTTACGGAAAATGGAGAGCTGATTTATAGAGAAAGAAAATGAGGTATTCAATTTGGAACATATCGAATTCGAGACTATGGACTGGTAGATCCCAGTGGGAGCATCCCCTAAACAGCTGGAAGTGCAGGTCTAGAGTACAGGCCAGGGACAGAGATAGGGATTTGTGAGTCGCCTTCATCAGAAGTGATAATTAAAGCCATAGGAGGGGATGCGAGCACTGAGGAAGTTACCAGTCGAGAAACAGCAGGGGGTCGAGGACAGCGTTCTTGGGAGGGAACTATAGTTAGGAAACAGAGGGAAGACGACTCAGAAAAAGAGACCCAGAAAACCCGGAAAAAAGGAGAAAGTGGGCGGGGGAGGAGATTTTTAGAAGGCAGAGAGAGATGTGAGCAATGTCAAATGTCACAGAGATAGTCAAAAGGGATAAGACTAAGAGAAGACTACTGACTGTCAACAAGGGCTTCATTAGTGACCCTTTAAGGAGCGACTTTAGAAGAGCCACGGAAGTCACATTGCAAGGAATTCCCCAGGGAATAGATGATTAGAAAGTGGGGGCAAAGTGCACCACGCATTTGAGAAATTTGGCAGCAAAAAGAAAATGATATCTGAAATGTAGCAGGGTCAGTTAAAGGGTTGTTAGGTTTGTGGGGGTGTTTTTTGTTTTATTTTATTTTTTTAAGATAAAGGAGACACATAACTTTGAGTTTTTAGCCAGATCTTGAAAGATGCATGAGAGAGTGAAAACAGAGGGACAGGAAGAGATAATAAAGTGGCATGTGTCTATTGTGTCCAGCTCATGTTAAGTTATTTCTTTAATAGAAAAAAATTACACGTGTATATGTGTATGTGAGATTTATGAGATATATGTCATTGTTATAGTTAGTTAACCTTTGCCTGGCTGTAGAGTCATAACTAGGGTAAGGCAAATGACCAGGCGCTGACATAGAGGGAGACGTTGTTCCCCTCTGTTAGCCTCGTGTCCACATTCTTCTGCTGCTTTTATCTCCACAGGGAGTGGGGGTAAAAGAAGGCTCAGGAGTGGATGAGACTGCAGAAGTCGATAGCCAGTGGAGGTTAAGGGAGAAGGAGAAAGGAATGAACCACTCCCCTTCTAA